AGTTTTGGTGGAACATTCAGAAGATTTTTAATAGAAAGATAAAGTTTTCACCACAATTATTCTTGTTAGGTATTATTGTAGATTAAGATGTTAAAGAAACAATTTTAATGTTGAATCTTATTACGGCGGCAAGGTTATTGGTTGGACAATTTTGGAAGAAAGATTCTTTGCCTACTATATATGTAGGTCTTTGGTTATTCGGGTTTTCTCCTGCCCTCCTCCCCTACATCAAAGGCACCACAGATAAAATCAGCAAAATTCTCCACAAACACAATATCAAGACAGCCTTCGGCACCAACCAAAAAATAGCCAACATCTTAAGAAACCCCAAAGACATGATCCAGCTAGAAAACCAAGGAGTCTATGAAATACCATGCAAAATCTGCCCAGCCACATACATTGGACAAACTAATAGGAGAATAAATGCATGCATCACAGAACACAAGAATGCAGCCAGAAAAGAAGGAAAAACTTCCTCCCTCTTCCAGCACCTTAAAGCTACAGGACATGAAATTGATTTTGAAGGAACCAAACTAATCTCCAAAACTGAACACCACAACAAGAAAATAATTATGGAAGCCATCAGAATAGAAAAACACCCCTACAACATGAATAAATGTGACGACACCTCCCGCCTACCAGACCTCTGGAATCTAGCCCTAATCAACAAACGAGAATGACACAATTTTGGTTATATTCCCTTTACTCTGAATGCATAAAAAAGGACAGACCATCAGTTCTATGGTATCTGTTAAACTCAGTGTTTCAGTATCTATGCTAGAGTCTTGCTCAAATATGGTGTTAGCCCTTTTACTTAGATTCAAATCTTGCACTGTAGCAGCCAGACAATCTAAAGATCAAAAATGTAATAGTGCAGGATTTCGTCTGGCTCAATTTGTGGATAGTTTAGATTTGGTCTTATTTAATGGCTCTGTTAGAGGTGATTTAAACAGAGAGTTCACATTCTGGGGTCCTAAGGGAGCCAGTATACTGGATTATATTATGATCTCTCGGAACTTTGTACAGCATATAGTTTACTTTTATATTGGAACGCGCCTTGATAGTGACCACTTTCCATTAATCTGTCCAGTTAAGGCTAAGACAAATTTTGAATTATTAGAAGTGGCACATTGCCCATTGATATTACAATAAAGGGGCAAGTAAAAATTAAATGGTCTCAAGAACTGGCCAAAACTATGGCTGAAATGTTGACCTCAGAGCCCCTGCTTCATATGTATGTTCAAATTTGGTCATCTGATTCATATGAACAAGCATTTTCGTTGTATCAATCAATTACCACTAATATCCAAACACCCCCCCCCCGACAAGATTTACAACAGCTTATTGTGTGCATGTGCATAAAAGATCTAAATCTTGGTATGATAGTGATTGCATTAAAGCAAAAAAAAAGCTCTCTTAAATGCAATAATTTCCTTTCGCCAGGAAAATTTGGTGAATGCTTCTAAATTACTCAAGACCACAAAAAAATTATAAAGATCTCTTAAAGATAAAGAAACAACAGGCTATAAAAGAAAATTGGAGTAATCTAATTTCAGCAGCAAAGCTCAAAAATTCTACTTTGTTCTGGCATTTAATAAATCAGCCTTTTACAAATAGAAGTTTTGGCCCTATTTCACAAATATCTGCTGACAAATGGGAGGATCATTTTAAAAAACATCTTTAAGCGGATTCCTGCTGTAATTTCAGAAGTGATCCCCCCTTGTAATGACTTCCTGGATTGGCCTCCAGTATCCATAGCTGAGGTCAAAGAGCTTATTGCCCAGTTGAAATCAGGTAACGCATCTGGAGGGGATTTTATCCCTCCAGAATTAATAAGGAAAAATAAGGACTGGTGGGCCCCAGTTTTAGCCATCCTATTCACTCATATTAATAACATAGGACATTTTCCACCTGATTGGAATCAGGCCATGGTAGTAGGGAGGAACGTTCAACACTGGATCATTGTCTAATTTTGCACCATTTGGCTGAAAAATATTCTACCCCCTCTCATGGTTCTCTTTATGCAACTTTTGTTGATTTTAAGTCAGCTTTTGATCTAATACCAAGGGAGAGATTGTGGTGTAGTCTAAGACATTCCAGGATTGATAAAAGGCTGTTGGTTCTCATTCAGTCGCTCTATTCAAATAGCTCTCTAAAAATCAGATGTTCCCCCTGGGGACATTCATCTAAAGCAATCTCAACTTACAGAGGTGTAAGGCAAGGTTGCATATTAGCTCCCCAATTTTTAAAATTGTACCTAAATCCAAGAATGAAAGTGCTTGCTGCTCCAGCCCATCATCCACCTATCTTGGCTGATTCTGCAATTCCAGCACTATTGTATGCCGATGATATAGTTATTTTGTCCACTTCTCAGGTGGGAATGAGAAAAGCACTTAGGGCACTAGCTTTATTTTGCATAGAAAACAAAATATTAATAAATTTTGAAAAAACTAAAGTTTTACTATTTGCCTCTTACCATCATATAGATCCATAAATAACAAACTGATGGGACGCCAATTGAACAGGTGAGTACCTATAAATATCTTGGAGTGCAGTTCCATGACACCCTATCCTGGCATACTCACTTTCTTTATTTGGCAAGTGTTGCACAGTGCACCTCATCAGCTATCATAAAATTTTATCATTCTAAAGCAGTGGTTCTCAACCTTTTTAATGCCGTGACCCCCAACCGGTCGTAAGTTGAGGATTACCCAACCGGTCATCAGTCGAGGACTTTCCCTGCCCGGGAGCGCTGCACATGCATGGTGCCGCCCCCTGCAATTGCCGAGGCGTAGCTGGCAAGGGGCAGCGACGGCACAGGGAGACCACTGGCTGGGTCACCAGCTGGCCCAGCCCAAGGGAGGTAAGGCACCTGCCGGGCCCCACGCACGCCAGCAACCCTCCCTGCACCCGCCGGCCTCCCACCTCCCACCTCTGGCCCTCTTTTACTTACATTTTTAGTAATTGCTCAGCAGGGAGGGGTGGAAACTTCCAGATAGCTCATTTTCTCTGCAGACAACTAGCAGCACCGTTTGCAGAATGAGACTTTTGGTGGGTTCAGCAGGGCAGAGACAGTCTGGACAATTCCTATTGGCTTTTGAATGCCAATAGAATTAGACTCTATTCAAGAGAGTCTATTTTACTGGCTTTCAAAAGCCAATAGAATAAAAGGGAGTAGCACAGCTAAGGAAAAGGGGGAAAAAATGGCGGACTGCGTTGTTTGGCAACCCCCGTGAAATGGTCGTTTGACCCCAAATGGGGTCGTGATGCACAGGTTGAGAACCGCTGTCCTAAAGGAGCTTACTACATCCCGGCAGCTTGTAAGTTTTTCCAAGCTAAGGCATTCCCTCAGCTCCTCTATGGCTCGCAATTATGTTCATTTGCAAAGCTTAATGCTATTGAAATTATTCAACATAAGTTTATTAGAGCCATACTGATGGTACCTAAAAGTGTTAAAAATGCCATCCTACAGGTGGAAGTAGGTTTAGTTTCATTGGAAGCTAGAGCATGGTTCTTTCTTCTTACCTTTTGGCTAAAGTTAATTTGATGCCTGTAGGGTTAGCCCTGTTAGTATTTATAGATCATTTTAAATCGTTGTGGGGAAAAAAAGCACTAGATAAAATTAAATCGCTGGGCTTCTCTATGAAAAGTCTGTGTTCATTAGGATTTGATAATGCTAGAACTGCCTTGAATCAATGTATCTGGGATATTGATCTCCAAACAAACTTAAGTAAGGTGGCACATTCCAATATTTGTCACTTGCTTCCAGAAGGTTTCTCCCCAGCTTCTTATCTATTTTCCATTACAATTTTGAAATTTCGTAAAGCTTTCACCTTAGCCAGGGCTGGATGTGTTGCCCTCGGCAGTCCTTTTTGGACGGTTTAAGGGCATTCCTATGCACCTTTGGTTGTGTCCATGTGGTGATGGCTCTATAGAAACCCTAAGCCATATGCTGCTTCATTGTTCTTTATATAAATACTCTAGACAGATTGTTATATATCCAATATTGAAGAAGTTTCCAGGAATGGGATATGAATTTTATCTAAAGTTGCTACTTTTGGATAAGGATCTGAAAATATCAATTCAGGTTGGCCAATTTTGTGCCACTATTTGCACAATACGTCGCACCATTATCAAGGTCTGAAAAAATTTAATATGATGTTTTATTTTGAGAATTTTGGATTATATTACATTGATTGTTTGATGGTTTTATATTCTATAAATATGGAAGTAAAATTGTCACTATTGTTATATTTTGATTATGTCTGGCCTTATGGCTGTAATAAACAGATTGATTGATTGGGTCCTCATTTTACCGACCTCGGAAGGATGGAAGGCTGAGTCAACCTTGAATGAAGGTATGTGCCACTGTGGCCAGATAAGTTACAGGTAACAAGGTCTTTTTGGCCTTCATTACTGTTCTGTTTCAATCGTAAAGGCATTGAGACGAGGCAGGAGTAACAACAGTCTTCTCTTTATTTAATCACCAACAGAACCAAAACAAAATGGCACAGATTCCTTTTATAACCCTTTTCAGGGACAGTGTCAACCAATCAATGCAACGTATTTCTCCCACCTTGTGCATGCGCAATAGGCTGGAGACAGCCTGTATGGTCCCGGGCATTCACGTGGTCTGCCTGGGCCTCTCTGCAGGCCCAGGATATAACAATTACAATATGGGCTCATCCAAACATTAAATGTGACTACAGGTGACGTTATCCCGGGACATGTATATTCACCTTCATTCACAAAAAATATTGCCCCATAATGCACCATTTTGCCCAGTTAAAGGTCATGACAACATTGTACTTACTTATGATCATAATATTGAATTCAGGGCTGTGACAACTCAGTGAAAGAAAAAGAAAAACAGGGTTCAGTAGCAAAAGTTAATTAATTACTCTTTCACAAGTATTGTATAGTCAGCAAATAAGAGAGAGTGCTTAAAATGAGTTGTTTATTTAAGGATTTAGCCCAGGGTGTCCACAGTCCAAAGACAAAAATGTTGATAAGTAACTTTCCTATACAAATAGAGGTGAAAGAATAATTTGAGCTGAATGTAAACAAGAGGTTTGTAAAGGTTAGAGGAAGTGAAGAATTTAGATGTGATTGGGGATTCAATTGGTCTCCTTCTTTCAACGTTGTCTCCTTTAAACAGCTTTTTGGATTTTTGAAGAGGAAAACAACTGAGGGGAGGATGGAGCTGATATGGGCAGGAGTTCTGCTTCTTCTCTGTATACTTTTCACCCTTTTCTCATCTTTCCAAATGTACAAGAAATAAGTGCAGCTGCCCCCTGGACCTACTCCATGGTCTATTCTGGGGAACCTCTTTCAGCAAGATGTACTACCTCTAAATAAATCCTATAAAAAGGTAACTATTGTACTTCTTTGCTTTTTCAGGTGATTATTTTGAAAGATATATGCACATTTCCCTAGTTTAAGGAGTTTGATTTTCTTCTATAAGAGTTCAATTTTATTAGGGGCTCTTGTGCATCTTCAGTAGGAATTTTAATTTAAAGTCACCTAGTTACAGTCTGATAAACACACAATGGAGGTTACAAAGTTCATTAAAATATGTGGTTACAAGCAAAACTTGCTATCATATATTTTGCAGTACCAGATTACTTGCAAAAATGTATTATACAGTCAAAATTGTGATTATCTCATTCCCATCATCTCACCAGCTAGGAGATACAGTACATGCAATTTATCCAATCAAATTAATGTACCCTGTAGATACTAAGAATTATTAAAGCTTAGACTCAACATAATCTCTCTGTGATGAATTTAAGAACTATTTCAAGCATGCTTTAAAATAATTTCACCAAAAAATGCTTTATCGTTTAATTAACTGGGTTTTCATCTAATTTTACCTTTAGCTTACAGAGAAGTATGGACCTATATTTAATATCTGGACTGGATCAAAACCAATGGTTGCTCTTTGTGGATATGAGGTGGTAAAAGATGCTTTGATAAATCAAGCAGAAGAATTTGGTGGGCGAACTAATACGCCCTTTCACAGACGAGTGTTCCAAAATAAAGGTTGATTCTCTTTTATTTCCTTATTCGTTGTTGCTCTTTTTAATTTTCTATAAGTAATTTTAAATTATTTTAATGCTTTTAATATTATTGATAGTTATGAAAGTTTCACTTGAAATGAAGTTTTGTAAAGAGGCTGATCTGGTCATGTTTTTTGAAGAAGGAGGAACACCTTTTTTTCACCATTTCGCTTCCACTGATCACTTCTGAAATCTGTTCTGGTTGTTCCTTACATGCAAAAAAAAAAAAAGTAATCTCACCTCTAAACTGGTCCTTTGGGAAGGCAAACAAAATGCTTTTCAAAGAGGATACTTTAGCAATTTGGACTTTGAATAAACAGGAGAGAAAGAATATTGAAAGAATATGGTTTGATGTTGGACAAGATCTCTGGGAATATTGTGGACATCCAAGAATAAGAAACAAATAGCTCATTGAGCAAATCAGCTGAAAGTTTCCACTCAAAGCATAAATGACCACACTAAAATTATCATTCTTCAGACATATGGTTCAAAGGTCTAGCTCCCTAGAGGAGGGTATAATGGTGAGAAAGATAAAAGGAAGAGGATGACCATCTGCAAAGTCAATGAACTCAGTTAAAATGATGACAAATGTACCCTTACAAGTCCTTAAGAATTAGGTTAGGGATAGATTGTGTTGGAGGAAATCTAAAGGTAGCTAAGAGTTGAGAGTAACTTGTTAGCACACAATCAAGCAAGCTAGTACATATGTAATGGGAAGTAACTGATTTTTATCAATAAAGCCTCTACAGCAAATAATAATAATAAAATAAAATCCACAACTCAAAACGACTCCAATTTTCTTCTGCTTACTGAAAACGGCATCTCAGTGTAAAGGTCTATGTCCAATGTAGGGATTTCTTTCTATCTATAACACACCTACAGAAACGTATGACATGATTTTCATAACCTCATTCATTCTTCTCTTAATATGACAGCAGTCAAGAATGAAAGGATGGCAACTGTGAAATTTGCTTCTTTGGTATTTCAAACATCAAGCCTTGTTTACTTTAAATGTGAAGAAGGAAAATTCTCTGATGCATAATTTATTGCAGTGCGGTAGCCTCTTTCAACTATGATTGAAAGAAAGATTTGAAAAAGGAAAGTGTCTGAAATATTGTATCTAAACATACTCTTCCACAAAAGCTGACAATTGACCAACATCATGATCCTTTTGGTGTCTGTTGTTTCAGGAATATCTACAAATGATGATAAGAAACAGAGGGAGCTGCGACGGTTCACACTGTCCACCTTGCGAGATTTTGGAATGGGGAAGAAAAGAATGTCTGAGAGGGTGCAGGAGGAAGCCCTTTGTCTGGTGGAGGAAATGGCTGCCACAAAAGGTCGTCTAAAGAAACTGAGAGCTGTTCTCCCACACAAGAATCATATCAGGAAGACTATTATCTTTTAAAATATGAAACTGGAAAGGGTTTGTTGTATTATGTGAAGTTACAAGAAAACTAGATTCTAAACTGAAACTCAAATTCTCTGTGCTTAAGTGCACAAAATAAAGAAAAACTTAGATAGGTATATATATATATATATATATATATATATATATATATATATATATATATATATATATATAGTAGTAGTAGTAAAGTTGGAAGGGACCTTGGAGGTCATCTAGTCCAACCCCCTGCTCGGGCAGGAAACCCTACACCATTTCGGACAAATGGCTGTCCAGTCTCTTCTTAAAAACTTCCAGTGTTGGAGCATTTACTGCTTCTGGAGGCAAGCTGTTCCACTGATTAATTGTTCTAACTGTCAGGAAGTTTCTCCTTAGTTCTAGGTTGCTTCTCTCCTTGATCAGTTTCCACCCGTTGCTTCTTACATATATATATATGTAAAATAAATGAGGTAAGGAAAATATGATAAGAATCAACTGCATAAGTGATGGAGATCTGTGAGGTGATGTGGATTTGAATTAAGGCTATTGTACAAGATGACCAGGCTGACCCAAGGGAGGGATCAAACAAATCATCAGTCATGAGTCCCTTCGTGCCCAGAAGAGATCTACGTCTAGCCTACCTTGAATCTTTCTACTCTTATCTCCTGCTAATTTCCTTTGACCATTAGTAGTTCAGATTCTTGTAGTGAGCTTAAGCTTACAATAAATCTTTATACCGATTTCAACTGCCTGGATTGCCTGATTTTCCTGGTGCCTGACAGATATAAATTTATTTTTTTCCAGGAGATGTAGCATCTTGGAAAATCATGTTCTGTGGACAGGTCTTTTCTGGAAGGAGATTTAAAAAAAGAAATAGTAAAAAAAATATGAATTGGATAGAATAAGACAGTGCTGAGGGAATAAAGTGCTCAGTTAAAATTGGGAAAAGAAGCGAAAAAAGTGTTTAAATAATTCATTTGAACATGATTATATATCAGGCAAATTCAAGAGCCAGCAAAAGAAGTTATGGATGAATGACATAGGTAATCTAAGGCTAGAAAGTAAACATGGATAATGTCTTGCTTTTATAGGTATGACGAGAGAATAGGCAGTTTGCATGAGGGTGGAGATGTGAAAGCCACTGTGGATCTGTACTGAATCGTCATAAATAGTATTCCTCTAACGATTTGTGCCATTTTGAATATAATCATTAATGGACAAATCTCTGGAATCAGAAGGGGAAAGAAATGAAATAATAGGATTATTTTTTAAAAAAAGAACAAAGAAATTAGAAGGTTGAAGGGAGAGACAGTCAGGAGAGGGAAAACCGGAAGTAGAAACCTCTAAGGGAAGGGACAGGGAGGAAAAAACCCACCATGAACAGAAAAGGGCAGAGAAAGGAGTGAGAAAACAATTCTTGACAGAAGACAGCAAGAAGGTTTTCAAAAAAACCTCTAGTGGTTATAAGGTTTATGTTTTCATTTAATTACATCTAGGCCAGAGGTAGGCAACCTTGGCTCTTTTATGACTCGTGGACTTCAACTCCCAGAATTCCTGAGCCAGTCATGCTGGCTCAGGAATTCTGGGAGTTGAAGTCCACGAGTCATAAAAGAGCCAAGGTTGCCTACCCCTGATCTAGGCTCTTCTATTTAATATTATTTATTTAAAAATACCAATAAAATCTTTGAATAACGTCTTTGACCCAAACCACTTTTTTTGTTGCAGTTCTGTGGTGAGAATTGTGAAAGGGAAGATCCCCATTCTTTGATCCCTCCCATTAATGTCTGTGGCCTTTGTTGCAGGGCAGCCTTTTGACCCAAGAAGAAATTTGGCAAGTGCTGTTTCTAATGTGATCTGTGCAGTCGTCTTTGGCAATCGATATGATTACAAAGATCAAACCTTCATAGAGAACCAGCAGATTATGGAGTCTCAAATAAGATTTCTGACTAGTTTCCTAGGACAGGTATGTTTTTCCTCTCTGATGCTCTTCCTGCTATAAACATTCATTTTTACTAGTGGGCCTCTCTGTGTGTTCGAATATCCAAATAAGGGATGTGGAGATTACTGTAGATAAGCAGGAGAAGTCAAATCCAGACATCCAGCAAGACTGAGCCATCAAAATATAAATTGGTTCTCAGCAAACCTTCTTTCCTGGCTGGGCTTATTTCCCACGGGATCATTTCATTCTCTCGTAACTGCTGTGGGCCCTGACCTGCTTATTTCTAGGACTTGCCCATTTCTTAACTAGTCAAACATGGAATTTCACTGGAGGGGCTGATTCTTCCTAATTGTAATGTTTCACTTAATTTTTTCATCCCTTGACTGAAAAGTTAACTTTAGTTCTCAAACATATTTCCATGTTGTTCTAAGAAATGACAATAGCATTATCCCCCAAGCTATTAGGTTTGTGATATAAGGGGAATATCAATATTATGATCAAACTGAAAGGTATATTATTATGTGTATGGGGTGTATGGGGTGTTCAGGGAGGTGTAGTACCTCTGGTGTAGGGCATGTCTGTCTTTTAGGGCAGCTCGTACACCTTTGGCCCCCACCTGACATTCAACTCTCACCTGTGGCTCCTAGTAGCTGTAACATGCGCAGTGGCTGCATCCCAGGCAACAGCTTCGACAGGCTGGCCAAACCAGGTTGAGAGTAGCCGTTGTGTCTTCGACACTTGGTGAGCAAGGGATTTGTCTATCCCAAGCATGTGAAGACAGACTCTGGTGGAGTGAGCGAATGAGATCTATTAAAATAGAACCAACAGTCATGAAGGCAGTTTCTGCAAGCGACGTGGTATGCTGAGAGCACGGCAAGACATGAAAGATGCCCTGGTCATCTTTCATAAGGGATGTGGAGATTACTGTAGATGTGATGAGCTACTAAGCAGGAGAAGTCAAATCCAGACGTCCAGCAAGACTGAGCCATCAAAATATAAATTGGTTCTCAGCAAACCTTATTTCCTGGCTGAGCTTATTTCCCACAGGATCATTTCATTCTCTCGTAACTGCTCTGGGCCCTGACCTGCTTATTTCTAGGACTTGCCCATTTCTTAATTAATCAGGGAGAGCCAAACATGGAATTTCACTGGAGGGGCTGATTCCTCCTAATTGTAATGTTTCACTTAATTTTTTTATCCCTTGACTGAAAAGTTAACTTTAGTTCTCAAACATATTTCCATGTTGTTCTAAGAAATGACAACAGCATTATCCCCCAAGCTATTAGGTTTGTGATATAAGAGGAATATCAATATTGTGATCAAACTGAAAGGTATATTATTATAATATTTTTAAAAAGTACAATGCTACATATTTAACTATATATAATTTGATAATCATCATATCAAATTATGCACAGGTGCCTCTCTTCTTATTGGTATTTTTAAACATTTCCCCTATTCTTATGTCCCTCTTTCCTCCCTGCTTCAAGAACTGTCATCATTTTCATCATTATCCCTTCATGGGATAGCTGGGGTGAGGCTTGACAGAATATATCCTGCAGCGAACTCAGCCTAGGTGAGGAAAGATCTGGGGGATCTTTCAAATAGATTCCTTTTTAACCAACTTATTATAAATAAAAATTCCTACCATGCAGTAGTTCCCAAGATGCTGCATTTACTCAACACTAAAATTAAAGATAGCTTACTGAAATTCTTGCCAAACTTGCCTCCTTGGTCTTGGCACCTAGCTGAGGTTTGATAATTAACAATATCAGACTAAAAGCTAATCTCTGAATATTTGGGGCATTAAGCCTTCACCATTATGGTCTAAAAACATATAATGTTTAACATCAACTCTGCAACAGGTGTACAATACTTTTCCAAAAACAATGGAATACTTTTTTGGACGACATATCGAGTCTGAGACTGAAAAAGTCTATGATTATATCCATGAGAAAGTGGAATTGCACAAGAAGACATTGGATCTCCAGAACCCACGTGACTATATAGATTGCTTCCTTCATAGAATGGAGAAGGTAGGCATAGATACCATCTATACATAACTGTTTACATATCTCCAATATGTATCTAAGATGAAACTAGTTCACCTTGTATGAAAGAATATGAAAATATTTATTCCCCTTCTTTCTTACTTTAATTTGCCATTTGTTAACATGTACTCCTATGCCCGACATAATTAAAAATGAATAAGTATAGACATTTGCTTTACATGCTAATTTACACATCTTCTACACTCTTAATAGGTGATACAAAGATAATCATTCATCTTGCAGGAGCAATTTCTATTAGAATTAGTCTCTCAGATATAACATTCAAGCTTCTATGCTCAGATCTAATCCTGTTTTCCCACTGTTGTGTCCTGGGTCTGTTGACGCAGCTCAGCATGCCCAGAAGTGTTGCAAATGGTCCCGGGCATTCCAAAAGCTGCCCCGGACCAGACTGGTTGGTGCCAGCCTTGTGCGCAGGCGCAAGGCACGAAAAAGAGAGAATTATGATAGGCTGTTTGGGAAACTATAAAAGGCCTATGAGCCTGTTGCTTGTTGAGTGGAACTGGAGTTGAATAAAGTTGAAACTGGTATTACGGGTCACTTCAATGCCGCGAACCCCAAAACATAATACTGGTGAAGAAGGTGGGATCGCTGCAAAGAAGGAGACAACACAAGGAACCTAGTCTTTACAAAAAAGACTTGGAAGACGGAAGTCGGCGCCCAGATCGGCACTCACCTATCAGTATGCAAATGCTTGAGGTGGGCTTGGCAAACGGATCTCTTCCCAGCCTGAATTGCAGCGAGGCTAAAAGAAGCAAGAGATGTTGAAAATTGGGCAGCTGTCTGAATTCGACGTGTCGCACCCAGAGCGTTGGAATTCTTACGTGGCCCGGGTGGAAAACTACCTGCGAATCAACCAGGTTTAAGAAGATGGCTTAAAGGCAGCAACTCTGTTGTGCGTCTGTGGACAGGACACTTTTGATGTGGCTGAAAATCTAGTCGCTCCTGTACTGCTTGAGTCTGTAACATTAACAGACTTAAAAAATATGCTAAAGGATCATTTTCATCCGAAGCTATCTGTAATCGAATGGAGGCACGTTTTTGAACAGAGGGACCAGAAGCCTGGTGAGTCTGCTGCTGAATTCATTGCTGCCTTGAGACAAGCCACCAGGTCTTGTGAGTTCAAGGACCTGGAAGAGCGCTTACGAGACCATTTTGTCTGTGGTCTGAGAAGCAGAGAGCTGCAATAAAAAATATTTGCTAAAGCTGAAGTCACTTTCCAAAATGTCTTGCGAGAAGTTGCAGCTGAAAAGGCTGCAGGAGGCACTGTGAAGGCCTTGCGTCTCGCCAAAAGCACTACAGCAGCCATGTTTGTCCATCAGGAAGATGCTCAAGAAGGGTTCGAAGCAGATCCTGAAGAGGAGGTGGACAGACTTCACCAGCCAGCAGAAAGAAGGCTTAAAGGGCGTCCCATCAAGGCCCCAGCATCTCCTCAGTGTCTCGGTTGCGGAGGTTATCACAAGCGAGCTGACTGCAGGTTTCGTTCCGCCATTTGCTGGGCATGTGGTAGGCAAGGCCACATTGCCTCTGTCTGTTTGGGTCGCAAGAAGGTCCAACCTCGGCAAGAATTGCTTCAGAAAGGTAACAGGGTCCCCAGCCAACACAGGGTGAGTTTCTGCGCATCGTGCAGGAGTATTCTGAGGACAGGGACACACAAGTCCCTTAAGAAAAAACTTTGCATTGATGTGAAGTTACAGGGGGTTCCCTTATCAATGGAGTTGGACATCGGGTCCCTCTATCCATCATTTCACTTCACACATTCAAGAGGATTTGTAGTAGTAGTGGCCTTCGAGTCAAACTCAGGCCATCGAATTTAATCCTGACTGACTTCCAGAACTCCAAAGTCAGTGTGAAGGGGCAGGCTACACTCAAAATGCAGCGTAAAGCTTTTGAAGGTTTTCTTGATGTGGTGGTAGTTGGGGGTGAATGCACAAATCTTATTGGATTCGATTGGTTTGAGGCCCTTGGAATCCAAGTGACTGGGCTTCACAGCGTGCAAATGTTGGACCTTGCAGAAGTCTGCAAGAAGTTTGCTGATGTGTTTAGCTCAGAGCTTGGATCCTACAAGGAGTCTCCCATTGCATTACGTTTAGACCCCACTATCACGCCCATCAGGATCAAGCCTAGAAGGGTGCCTTTTGCCCTCAAAAGCAAAATAGATGCAGAGCTGTGGACTCCAGTCCATGGGAAAACCCCATTGTCACACCTTTAAAGGCTAATGGAGAAGTCCACATATGTGCAGATTATAAGTGTACACTGAATAAAGCATTGCAACAGCATGCTTATCTAGTGCCAGTGGTGAGCCACATTTTGGCCTCCCTGAAGGGGGGGGGGCGCCGTTCTGAAAAACTTGATTTGGCACAGGCTTATCAATAGCTACCTGTTGATGAGGCAACTGCAGAGGCCCAAACAATTGTAACTCATAGAGGGGCTTTAAAGTTAAAAGACTGCAGTTTGGGGTTAATGTAGCCCTGGCATATTTCAAAGTGTCATGGAACGCACACTTCGTGGCATTCCTAGGGTCTGTCCCTACTTTGATGACGTCCTCATTGCTGGGGAGTCATCTCAAAATCTGGCAGAAAGATTAAGGGCTGTTTTGCTTCGTTTTCGCAAACCAGGCCTTAAATTGAAGCAAGACAAGTGCAAAATAGGAGTCACTTCTGCTGATATTTTGGGTTTCAGGATTGATGCCCAAGGCATTCACCCTGCTGAATCCAAGTTTCAGGTGATTCAGCAGGCCCCAAGTCCCCAGTCAAAGAGTGAGCTGCAAGCTTTCCTGTGGCTTTTAAATTTTTATCACACATTTCTCGCACATAAGGCTGCAATGGCAGAGCCATTACACTGGCTCTTAGACAAGCAGGCTCCATGGCAGTGGACTCAGGTCCATGAGAGGAGTTTCAATGAGGTTAAGGCCTTGCTCTCTTCAAATGCTGTTTTAGCTCATTTCAATGAGCAACTGCCTGTATGCATCGCATGCGATGCATCTCCTTATCGGGTTGGAGCAGTACTGAGCCACTTGAAGGCTGATGGGACACAAGTCCCTGTAGTTTATTATTCAAGGACTCTGTCATCTGCAGAGTGGAATTACGCTCAGATTGACAGAGAAGCCTTGGCCATAGTGGCTGGCATAAAGAAATTATATGGCCGCCATTTCACGATCTATTCAGACCATAAACCTTCGCTGGGGTTGTTTACTACCAACAAACAGACACCTGGCATCATTTCCCCACATATGCTGAGATGGTCAATTTTCCTGTCAGCATATGATTATACGCTTATTCATAAACCAGGAAAAGAGATGGCCTCAGCAGGTTGCCTCTCAAACAAATAGAGGCTGACCCTGCTCCTGCTATTCAGATTCTCTCTATTCAGGAGTTACCTGAATCTCCCCTCAATGCTAGGGACATGGCTGCAGAAACTGCCACTGATCACACGCTGACACGCGTGCTGACTTCGGTTTTGTCAGGATGGCCTGACACATGTCCGGATGCTGTATTTCAAGCCTTCTGGCAAAGAAGACACGAATTGTCTATGTTTCATGGGTGCCTGTTATGGGGTAGTAGAATAGTTATTCCTGCCTCACTGAGGTCTAGAGTCTTGTCCTCTCTGCAAGAGAGACATCCAGGCATTGTGCACATGAAAGTGCTCGCAAGAAGCCATCTGTGGTGGCCTGGCCTCGATAAAGCTATCGAAGCCCAGGTACACAGATGCCAGGTGTGCCAACAGTCATGGCCTGATATGCCTCACGCCCCTGTACACAGATGGGAGGAGACACAAACCCCTTGGTCAAGGTACATTTAGATTACGCTGGCCCTTTTCAGGGGCAATTCTTCCTTATCCTGGTGGATAGCCATTCGTAGTGGCTAGAGGTTGTACCCGTCTCCTCCAATACTACTGCCAGGACTATCCAGGTGTTGAGAGGAATCTTTGCTACCCACGGCCTTCCGGATGTCCTCATTTCTGACAATGGTCCTCAATTTACTTCTTTTGAGTTCCAGGCTTTCCTTCAGGCCAACTTGATCCGGCATGCCATGTCAGCTCCTTTCCATCCTTCCTCCAACGGGCAAGCTGAAAGGATGGTGCGCACCACCAAGGATGCGCTAAAACGCATCACGCACGGCAGCTGACATCACAGCTAGCTGATTTTCTTCTTGCACACCGCACCACACCATGCACTGCCACTGAGAAGAGCCCAGCTGAACTCCACTGGGGTCGCTGCCTCATCATGAAGTTGGACAGATTGCAACCAGACCGGGTGGCTTCACAGGTGTCACAGCCGTGGTCACCTAGGAGACTTCAGGTGGGCAATCCAATCTGGATAAGGAACTATGGTACTGGACATCTCTAGGTCCTTGCTGTCATCTGCAAGATCTCGGGGCCACTATCATACAAAGTGACCTTGAGAGATGTCCGTGTCCTTCGGGGTCACATCGACCAACTGCGCTGGCAGTTGTCCCCCGTTAATTCCGCCCCTGCCTCTGCTCTTGGGGGGGGGAGGGGGCCCAGGAACATAGTCACACTTCAGGTCAAAATCCTGAGAACCAGCTTTATTGTTCCTGGGAATTATCACAGGTTGCTAGGAATTCCCCAGTGGAGGAGCGATGGCATCCTCACGGATCAGCTATTGCTCCAAAAAGGGAGTTCTGTGCATCAGCAATTGCTCCAAATAGGAAGTCATCTCGGGGGGTGGCCGGCGCATCCGCAAGAGCGCCAAACAGGAATTCTCATGTGAAGGAGTTTGCCATTGAGGCGGCTACTGACTCTGGCACCTCGGTCACCTCATGGGGGACTGGAACCATTGGGGCACTGCTGAAACGGAGGTCACGTCTGAGACTGGTCATGGGCTCGAGGGACTAAGTTCCCAGGAGCAGTCCATGGTGGACGGGGGAAACTCCACTCTACCACTGGGTTTGGGAATTTCCTCCTCTCCAAGGGAACCTGAATGGAGCCCAGAAGAACCTGCCAGC